GTCAGGTAAATGTCATAAAATCGTCAGTGTAAGAATTTTGGCAGCCACTAGCTTTTCGCCACGTCCAGTCCACAGATTGTTACCAACGACACATCGTTCTTATTCAAAGTAATAAAAAACGATATGACGTATTTAATGGCAGGTTGAAACTTGGCCTCAGTCAATGGCTATATTCACTTGCTGGAGGTTGTGGGAAGCAGAAGACTATAGGATAAGACATTTTTAAAATTGAATACAAGTACAACCACTTTAATGATCCAATAGCACCTTACAACTATGAAGTGGTAAAGTGTTGCAGCTTAGCGGTTAAGAGTATTTTCTCCTGTTTTAATTTCAATTCTCTCTTTTTCAATATCGCTTGTATCAAAAGTGGTAAAGTGTCATAAAATGTTCTAATCGTATTGCATCTCTAACCAAACATATCTAGTCTAAGTGTTTGTCTTGTCTTTTGAACAGTGAACTTTCATGTCAAAGAATATTATGGGAACATGAAACAAATGGTTCCAAGAATTTCACAATTCTAATTTATGATGGCGGATTGAACCAAACAAATATGATATCATGTTTTCTAATAAATTGAAATATAACAATATAGGACTTCAAATTTATGCCAGGCAAAACAAGAGCCTCTAAGTTCAACAAAAATTATATCAGAAACCGGACCACTACGTATGTGGTGGCAAGAAAGAAGAAAAACCCATGAAAAAAATAGCAAAGAATCAAACTGACTGCCTCAAGCCACTTGAACTCCTTGTCAGTTTTTTTTATGCCACAGCAGGCATGTCCTTGAGCCATGCATCCAGGGGCTTACCAATTGAGAACACAATAAACCCAATCTCCCGCAGCTGATCCACATTAACAACATTCCTACCATCAAATATAAAGGCCGGTTTCTGCATATCATCGAATATCTTCTTGTAATCAAGAGTCTTAAACTCATCCCATTCGGTCATAATGCAAAGACCATGAGCACCCTTTGCTGCTTCGTAGGCATCCCCGACAACAGTAACTTGCTTCTCAGTACTGGAGGAGGCACTCATCGGCTGGAGGTGAAGAGGATGGTCCCAGTCAAACTTGCTCAATGCGAGGTCCTTGTGAATCTGGTCCTCAGTAACTTGCGGGTCATATATGCTCAGTTCAGCCTTGTCACCCAACAACCCCTTGCACACATCAATAGCTGGGGTCTCCCTTGTGTCACCGGTATCTTTCTTGAAGGCAAACCCCAGGATGGCAATCTTCTTCTTTGCCACTGTGTTAAACATGGATGCAACAACACGGTTCACAAAACGGTTCTTCTGATAATCGTTGATCTTAATGACCTGTTTCCAGTACTCAGCCACCTCTGGAAGGCCATTGCATTCGCAGATGTAAACCAAATTCAGGATATCCTTCTGGAAGCAAGACCCACCAAAACCAACACTAGCATTAAGAAATTTGGGTCCAATCCTAGTGTCCTTACCAACAGCATACGACACCTCTATAACATTGGCCCCAGTAGCCTCACAAAGGGCAGACATGGCGTTGACAGACGATATTCTCTGGGCCAAGAATGCATTGGCCGCAAGCTTGGAGAGCTCTGCAGACCAGAGATTGGTGGTTAGGATTCGGTCTTCAGGAACCCACTGAGCATAAACATCCTTCAATGCTTTGATGGCCTTTTGGCCTTCAGGGGTTTCCCTTCCACCAATGAGGACCCTGTCTGGGTTGAAAAGATCTTGGATTGCAGTTCCTTCTGCAAGGAACTCTGGGTTGGAGAGGATTTGGAATTTGATTCCCTTGCTATTGTGGGTCAAAATTTTCTCTATTGCTTCAGCTGTTTTGACTGGGACTGTAGATTTCTCAACAACAATTTTGCTAGATTTTGACACATCAGCAATCATGCGAGCAGCACTCTCCCAATATGTCAGATCTGCAGCTTTGCCTGCTCCAAGACCCGTAGTTTTGGTAGGGGTGTTTACAGAGACAAACACTATATCAGCTTCGTCAACGTGTTTCTCCACTTCAGTGCTGAAGAAGAGGTTTCTGCCTCGGCACTGCTTCACCACATCATCAAGGCCAGGTTCATAGATGGGAAGCTTGTCACTGTTCCAAGCCTCAATCCTTTTTTGAGCGATATCAACAACAGCAACTTGAACGGATGGACACTTGAGTGCAATCACCGCCATTGTAGGGCCCCCGACATATCCAGCACCAATGCAACAGATCTTCACCATTTTTGTTTCACTCTAGAACCTGCCCACAGTTAGCTCATACATGTCAGGAGAGCGAAAAGACAAAACAAAATGGGAATGATCCACATATTCAGATATTGTTTCAGTATTCAATGCCTATAAATCATATGAAATTGAGTTCGATATTCACCCACTGAACCAAACTCTCATGTTGCAGTAAAGAACAATTCAAGGACAGAAAGTCTGTTTGATCTTACAATTTACGAAAATGGCTCATCCAGAATATACCCTTATCAACTATATCATCTCATAAAGCCATTGTTCAATTTCAAACCCGGTTCCCAGATCCAGACCTTTAGCCTAAACAATTTCAAAAATCCTCCTTTTCTTCATTGCTTGGTTCCCATTATCCAAACAAAAATTGCTTAAACAAATACAAGGGCTTGATTATAAACAACAAAATTAGATCTACAAAAATTCTGGTAGATCTAGGATCAGAAAGAGCACAACCTGGAATTGCAACAGAACTCAAATCCATACTTATGGAATTGGAGCAGATCCATGAGCAAGTAGCTCAATTTCCATTTTCAATGCGAGAATTTATCAATAAAACGGATCCATATATGAAATCCAATGTGCAAATCATATCCACGCATATACGAATGATTAAATGAAATCAAAAGTTTCAAGCTTAACTGCTAAACAAAGGAAAATGACACTAGATCTGAAGAATTATAAGCGCCATTAACAAAATCCATTAAGTATATTCAAAGAAAATGTACCAATTCAAAGAAACAATCGATAAGTGGTTTGGAATTACCAGAAATAGCTCCTCCGGCCGTCCTTACAGAGTTGATACAGAAAATTTTCCTTGCCTGTCCCTAGAAAAACAAGGTGTGGAGATTTCAAAACTGACCAAAACAATCCAACTAAGAAAAGGTCGGAACTAAGCTAATGAGGTACCTTTGCTTGTCTTCCTTTTCAACTGTAAGTTCGAAGAACGAGAGAAATGCGAGTACGAAGAAGACGAGCGTGATGGGTCTTGCTTAAATACGCAACATATGTCCCAAATCTACCCCTCTGATTTATGAAAAGGACAAGCCGGTTCCGGGACAATAGTTGGTTGATGATGCAAAGCTCTCAAATAAAAGACTTATTTACTTATGGCAGGTAGAGGAGAGAGGGTTGTCTTGTAAAATTAAATGTCGGACGCGGTTCATATTATTAGAGTGAAAAGGTCATGGTTTTTTCAAAATGCACCCCAGACGTTGAGTATAATATTACCCAAAATAAAATATAAAATAAAAACTCCCAAATTTTACTTTTGTTTTTTGTTTTTTGTTTTTTTTTTTGGTCTGAATCCCAAATTTTACTTTGTTTTTGGTCAAGTTAGGAATAGGAAGGTAGATTTTCTCGCACACATTATCAAAGTGTCATGGGTACTCGAATTTAAGACCGCTGATTTATAAGTCAAGATCTCGCTTAATTAGACCTCGTTAACTCCCAAATATCACTATTACTATAACAAAATTCTCGTATAGCAAGTATACTTTATTTATATTATATCATATCGAGACCAATTAAGAGCGTTTACTATCAAAATAATGAGACAATATCGACATTTTAAACCCCATTTTGAGATTTTATCGATACAATGGAACTATATGTTGTAACAATAATACTACTTGACTTTGCTAGTTGTATTTAAAAGCACTTTCCAATATTCTACGCGTTTACCACGCATGCCGATGATGGGTTGGATTCAATGCCACTTGCAGCAACCTTCGGTGAAGGAGTAATGTGCTCCGCTAATCAATGGTAACATTTTCTTGTTTCGGATTCCGACCTTTTGGTAACCCGGTACCACATAATTACTAAGTTGCACAATTTAAATTTGCATCTCATTTCTTTGAGTGATAAATATATATTTTAGGTTAATGTGCATTAGTGTCATCATCAAGAGCAAAACAGGAGGACATATGGACAACTCTTGTTAAAGCATGAAGAGGAAAACTTGGAAATCAAGACTCTCGACTTTGCTTGGAAAATCAGAAAATGTTGGATTGAATTTCAAGCCATATGAAAAAAGGAAAAATAAGGGGATGGACCCATGCTGATGATGACTCTTAATAATGCACACAATTACATATATTTATGCGAGCTAATAAACCAAGTTACATATAATTTTTATAATTAAAATCGATATGAAAATTACATATGTGGGTTAGGTCAATTGAGCATAACAAAAAACCTTCTTTGTTATGGATTCTTTTTCAAACGAGATGTGTAAATCTTTTTGTGTATGGTGTCGCCACTCCCGTTGGCAACATCCACTAATTCGCAACTTAATTTAAAAATTATATTTTGACATGGACGTTTTTGAGATGCTCCTAATAACCAACAAATGGCAAGTGATTTTTCTCGTGTGAATCCTATTTCAATGGGAACTCGTCCCCTTGCACTAAGTTCAACCCTCTCATTAGATTAAATTAATTTAAAATAACTTAAAATATCGCTTTTATAAACCATAAAAATAAAAAGACTTGAAAATTCTAGATAAAAAGTGGGCAAATTAAACCATAAAAACCGAACAAGCCTATAGATATGTATGGGCCTAAAAAGAGCAGTCCTATCCTATCCGAGCTCAACTCTTGACCCAAGTGGGCAAAAGCTTTTGATAAGTTTTGACATAGAAACCTGGATGGTGATGATTGATAACGAAGGAAATTTTCTTTCAAATTTTATGAAATAATTAATTAATTATAAGAATATATCGTATGCTTGGAATCCAAGGAAACCGTATAAGTACAATTTGATAATCAAATAAGCTTATATGACAATTAACTCGGCTCCTGGTGGAAGTTGCTTCCCAATCTGCAAAGCATGCTTTCTTGTTGCCTCTATTTTCTTCTTGGTTGTCTTTCTACTTAGGTACTGTTTCAAACTCAGAAAATCATAATTCTGCAAAGCATGTTTTATTGTATTATTCGACAAATTTCTTAAAAACATACGGTCCGACCAATAATACTTGAAAAATACAGATAAAATGGAAAATATTTGAAAAGAACGTGTATGTCATTATATGTATAATACGTGAATAATACATATGCATTGAAAAAAAACATGTAGTTTTCTATATCTTTGAGAAGTGTAAAAAAAAAGGGAAGTGTGACAATACAGTGTATCATTTACCTTTTGAAGATCAAAGATGAGCTTCTCGAGCACAAGAGAGTTCTCAATTAAGTACATGGCAAACTTAGTATCCATACGAGACCCAATGAAGCCTGAAATTTTCACAACCTTAAGGCATGGATGAGGACATTTGTTAATCTTCTGCATACTACTCGTACAATACGTAAACAAGCCGCTCCACTTTAACTGCAATCAGGCGTATATATGAGAAGAACATATCAAGATTCCTCATTGTAAAAAGCTAATGAATTAAACAAATGTATACAAGTTTTCCATCATTTGTAATGGTTTGGTGGCGGAACTTGGATTGGATTGAAGTTGAGTTCAAGCAAGTATTATGAATCTTACCTCTCTAGGTGGGATTTGTAAGACATAGTCAATATATTGGACTTTTGTCCAATTTAATAAATACAAATTTATAAATAAACCCAATCCTAGACATGTATTTATAAAAAAACCCAAGCACTATTTAAACATAGAAACACACCCAAAATCAACCCCAAAGTCAACTTTTTGGGTGTGTTTATAAATGGGTTTTGAGTGTGTGTAATGATGGGTTTTGGGTGTGTTTATATGTTTAAATAGTGCTTGGGTTTTTTTACAATTTCAACCCCCATTTTGGGTGTTTGAGTGAAACTCCCTTTAATAAATCTATAGTCTCGACACACCAAATAAGGGCTAAGCCTCTTGTTCATTCTTTGAAATAGTCTAATCCACTTTCACGCACCAAACTTTTAAGTGTACTATTTATCTTGTTTGCTTATAAATGTGGAAATAATTTTACCCGTAATTCCAATCTATGCAAGAAAGGAGATCGCTCTATCAAGGAAGTCAAATCCATGAGGATTTTCGAATTTTGTCCCATATGTATCGTCAAAGATAGCTTTTTGAGACTAGATAATTCTGGAGACTCTGGGAGCATAATACTCCTCTGCAAAAAGAAACCAATTGCAAGACAAGAATGTATACTGACTGATAATAAATCTTGAATGATTCAATATGTATACTGACTTGTCCGAGACCAATACGCAGGCTGAGAGTCTGCAGACGAGAAAAACAACTTGAAACCGACCGGAAAGCTTTGGATATACAATCATCAGTTTCTGCAAGAGATAGCATGACAAGCGAGGGTGCATGCTTCATAACAATTCCTGTTCTGTATGGACCTTTTCCGTCGTAGATAAACGACACGAGATTAGGAGCAAAGATCTCGATTTTAACTACGCTAGGGCAGTCACTTATCTGCAGAAACTTCAACCGGAGAGAGGGACCGACGACTTTCAAAACATATATTTCAGAGGAGCTACGAATACACAGGTGCTCAAGAAGTGGACAGTGAGATAGAAAGTGGCCAACAATTCGACAATGTATGTTTGTGTTGTTGAAGCTGAGGTGTGTGAGGGACTTGATGCAGGAAAAACCAAAAGGGATTTTGAATGGCCTCTCTGGAAAGATATAAGGGTCGTTAGAAAAACGAACATCATCTATCTCAAGCCTTTGAACTCTCTTCTGCAATATTGCACTTTCGATCGAATTATCGACATCAGAACGACAGCATTCGCTATCTAAATCGCAATGGCTAATCCTCAATCTCTCTAAGGTTGAACCCTGATGCGATTGCAAGATTTTAAACAAACCACAAATGCATGGTTTCCTGAGACGCTCAGTAAATCCCCACCTCTTGTCATCAAAGTTCAGACATGTAACACTTGCCCACAAAAATCTCCACCTCTTGGAGATTACGCAAGTTCTTCCTCCTTCCCAAATGTCCAAGAGGGAAACAATGGCAATTAGAATTTCGTCGGGCAGCTCGCTAATCCGGTCCTCTCCTGAATAATTATCTCCCTTCTCATCATCAAGAAAATAATAATCTTCATCATCATCATCATCATCTTCCTCCTTAAACAAGTAATTGCCTCTCGTATAATCAATAAAATAATTATCTCCCTTCTCATCAAGCAAATAATTCTCTCCCTTATCATCATGGTCACCAAAATTGATTGCAATTTTACGTCCTTCTGTTTGACGTGTGCATTCAGTAGTCTGCAAATCAGTGGCCTTCCTTTTAGACATATTATTTGTTATTAACTTGCTCTAGGTTCTTCTTAATAAGGGGCACAATCAAATAACCTGCAATGCAAGAAGTAACTAAGAGATATGAGATGCATCCTCGGCCCAGAAGAAGATGAAAAAAAAAAAAAAAAAAAAAAAAGGAGAAAAGAAAGTAGGGCTTCTCTGCTCGCTCATGAGAAATAATACAAGAAACTCAACTTACATTTTGTTAGAGCAATAGAGAGCGAAAGGCCAGAGAGATTTTCTATTCTATGTACAGTGTAAGAAAAGAGTTTGTTTCAAAATTTGAGATCCAAAAATTTGCTCGGAAGGTTTGTACTTATACTCAAACTCCTCTGGTGTATAATCGAAATTTATTAGGAAATAGGAATCTTCTCCTCTTCTGGATGGGGTAGGGCAGGAATCATAAGATTTTGTAAGGAAAGTAGTTCTCTTCCCCTATTTGGTGATGAATCAGATGGGGGCTTTCATGCAGGAGATTTTTAATAGTTGATCTACATAGAGTTTTTATTATTTATTTTTTTAATGACGAAAACTAAAACTACAAATAGGATCCTCTAAGGATTCCTAATTGAGGACTGTACATCAAACTTAACTTACAGCTACAATAACAGTTTGTGATTATGACATTTTTGCCCTCATATTAACATACTGTAAACGGATTCTGAACCTCTACATTTAGACATTATGTATTTTCCCGCATTTCGTGATATCTAGAAACGTCAGTTTTTAACTTTTGACACCTATCTATTTAATTAACTCTAACCCTAAAGTTAAAGTTAATTAAATAGATAGGTGTCAAAAGTTAAAAATTGAAGTGACGTATCTTGTAGATTACTAGAATGGTCTAGATTATTAGAATTCCCACAAACAAATATTCTCTCATAATTTCTCATATTTTAGCAGAAAAATCACCACATCTTGGAGATTATTGCTTCTTCCCAAATATTCAAGAGGGATAGGAATCATATAAATTCTTAGGAAAATAGTGTTTGTTTCCTTGCCTTTTTTGTGATGAATTTTATTTTTTTTTTGGGTAAAATTTTGTGATGAATAATATGATCCGATCACGAGGCTCAAGCCTTCTGTTTCTGGTGATTCACGTGTGATCTTATTAATTGTTGCAAATGGTAGAAAATTTTCCATTCTTATTATTAAGAGTATTTACCTACCCCCTCTCCTTATTACCTATGTTTTTGGTAAAATCGTATGCTTATTTGTTGATTAAAAAAGTATCTTATGCAAACGTGGGTTGGGCTAATTGGCCAGTCATAGTATTGTGTCCGCTCCTTACACCTAAGTTCAAATCCCCCTATTATAAATTAGATTAATTTTAAATATTATTAGACTATCGCTCCCATTTATTAGAAAAAGTCATAATCTTCTTATGGGCTCCTCATTCTTTGGTACCATCCCCCTTATTTATAAGGAGCTCAAAGTACGTATAAAAACTGTTTTGAGAAAATGTAAATCATCAATGTCGGACTCTTTCATTTGTCCATTTTAATTCAAGGTTTAATTCAATTTAGTACCCTGAATTCTCACTCTTACGGCATGTTTGCCCATATATTCTCCATTTTAACAATCAAATACCTTAATCTTTTTAATTTTTTGCAATATGGTTCTGTCATTAACTTCACCGTTAAATTTTTTATTAATTCTAGTCCTCGGCCCCACCTATTCGCTTCTTTCGATATCAATTGAAGGATATTTTTAAGTAATTAATGTCTTCCCGCTCAAACCCAAACACAATTACCTTGTGGGCAATTCGCTTCTCTCAAAACTTTTGTTGTTCTAGTGGTGAGGGCTAAGGGCTTAAAATTAAAAAATTTATTATTTACTTATAATTATTTTATTTCTAATTAATTGTGTAATGTCTTTGTTTATGTGGCAAAAAATAAACTATCTTGTGTTTGTATGGCTTGCTTTGGTTTTATGAAAATAAATTAATTAATTCTCATCTGTCATGAATATTTAAATTTTATTTTAGGAAAAAATAAAATGGAAGCAATGAGTTTTTGCATAAATGCTGCGGTCGGATTTTCCCAAATTTATGTCACGTGTCAACTTTCTATTCGTCATCCAATTACCATTTCTTTTTCTTTTTTTAACACTGCCATCCGGACTCCACCACCAGCCCAGGGTTGGGCTTGGGCCAAACTAACCCTCATGCAATTGTGAAAAAAATAAAAGAAGAAGAAGAAAAAGCCCCATGAGCCCAATTTGAGCATTTTGGGCTAAACACCCCCTACTCATCCATGTCATCCACTGATCTCTTCCAGGGGTTGCGCTCTGATACCAAAACGCTGCGTTGAGGTTGTCGGAGACGGGAAGCTAGGGCTCCAATCGTGGGCCGATTCTCAAATTCAAGCAGTTTATTCGATTGCCTATGCCATCACTTCCGCCTCTCGATCTCTATTGCTAATGAAGTGTTGTGGTAATAAATGCACTTGATTTCTTTCTAGTCGTTGGAATTTGCAGTATGTTATTTGGAGATATTATAATTTAACAGCGAAGATATGAGCAGTTAGTAGTTTCTGTGGTGAAATATTATATAAAGTTCGTAGTTTTAAGGGATTTGACTACTTTTTGGTTGGTGCATTTTATGAATGGTTAGCTCCATGTCCTTGCGTTTAGTTACAATACTAGTATTTGGATATCATTTTACTGCCGGTTTAATTCAGAATGTGCACTCTGGAATTGGCAAGTAATTTCAGATGTGATGTTTGTTGTGTGTTTTTTTCCTTAAGCAAACAATAAAATTCATAAGAGAGAGGACACAACGAAAGAAGGATAATATGTAGATAGTATGAATTGCTTCCTTGCATTATATGTTGACCTTTTTCTTAGATTGTTTTTGAATTGAATAGATAATTTTCACTCTGCTCCACATTTGAAAATTTTGTGCTGAAAGTTTTTTAGGATTTTTATTGGTCGATTCATCAATATTAAATATTGAAGTTTGAAACCTCCTTTACCCTCAAAACACCTTAACTTAAATTAGTTTTTTTTCTCTTATTATGCGCTCTGTTGTCTTGTGCTTAGAAGCCTAAAACTATCATGTCTAATAGATGAAAATCAATGGCAACATTAACATTGAGTGTGTCTTGTGTGAAGGAGGGAGAGGGAGTGAATTTTTATTTTTTTTATGTGCCCTGTACCCTGATCTTTATGGATTTGTGGCTGACTCCTTTTTTGTTGTGTTGGTTTCTGATTTTTCCACAAATCCTTTTTTATAATTTATAATTTTTATGTATTCAGTGTTCTGCATTACTACCTGTTTACGCTTGCTTGGGGAGGGGGTGAATAGCGGCTCTATTTTGTTTTGGTAGTCCAACTTTTGTTTGGTTTTGCAGAGTAAATATGATGCAGCTTTTGGAGATAGCGTTAGTCGATGAAATGGATAAAGCACCTGACACACTGCAACCTTGCTCTGTTGATAGTCTGGTGGACTTGTTACCATCTGTTACCAGTAGTTCTTGTGGTAATGAGTTTGATAACCACACTAAATGTGGTCCTCAAGGTAATTGTTTTGGTGGTAAGATTTGATTTCTTCTATGATGTTGCCTCATGGCCTACTGGTACTGATGATATACTTTTTATGTGTCTGAGAAGGTGTCAATTGCTCAAGGTCAGAAATACCGCTGGATCATCTGGTTATGTCGTTAGCTTCTGAGTGCATACAATATGATAGGCAGACCAGTGGGTTTGGTGGGCCCACTTTCCAGCAGGATTTGAACAAATTTGTCTTTCTATCTCAGGCTGGGCAGTTGCTCACGTGGGGTGCAGTCAATGTTTGATCATGCTGTGTAAGTAACTCTTTGTGATCCCAGATAATGTTTGATGAGAAGATGGTTGGGACAAACTTCTGTAAGAGACCGTCCTCTAGTTTGAGGATTATAAAGCTACTTGGAAGTCTCACAAAGAAAATCCATATATTGAATATGATGCCTCATTGGTGCATGCCCTGTTCATTCTGAGAAAGTTTCTTTACTTACAGCTACACATTTGAACATCTATTACAGAGGATATTCCCTTCCTCAAAACAATGGATGGATGATCTGATGCATCTTATCTTTTTCCATCATTTGGAAGGAGTGAAACTGAGGCCAAAAGTGGAGAGGTCATATTCTAGTTGTGCAAAAGCTACTTGCAGCTCTGAATTGGAAAATGTGGTTTTCCATGAAGACAAAGCTCATTTCGGAGACCTTTTCTATGAAAGTGGTCGTGGTCTACAGAAGGATATGATCCGCCACCAGTTGTTGCTAACTCTAGCTCCGGCCAGTGTATATATATGCTAACTCTAGCTCCATCTGGTTTTCATATTGAGATTCTTCTTGTGACATTTCAATTATAGTCTGAAGAGGCAAAAGCATCACATGCGAAGTTAATATTTTCTGCTCACAGAACAATTGGTGGTCCAACTTCGGGTTCCAACAGCACACATTTGTCTTACTAGGCTTTACTCGTTTCAAGTTTGATTTTAGTGCTTAGCCATATGATATTTTACCCACAGACTTGCCCTTCATCTTTGCTTGTTTGTACAGCTACGATCCAAGTTGAGCCACGCTCCGTACTGCAGTTCACAGCTTGGGGTGAACGATCATTTGTCATCTTCGGTTTCCATTGTATTTGAAAATGTAATGACTGCATTGTTTGAAGAAGAGCCTGACATAAGTCCTTGATCCATCAACCGATTGATATATCTTCCCTCATTGCTTTGCTGTCGACAGACTCGTAATATTGACAGATTATGCTTGAGTTGGGATGACATCGGTTCAACCATGTCATCAATTCTGGGGTTCTGGAAAGCTAAAGACGCGGCAGTTGTGGAGGATCTTGGTATTGAAAGAGACATTTTCGTACTTTGTTGGGACTTTCCAACTATTGGCACTGCAAAAGGACCGTCAACTTCCTTTAGGGAGCAATCCGGAGACTCTTAACACTTCTGAAATAGCAAATATCTGTTACTTCAGCCGTTCAATTCTAGGTCACTGTGG